ACGGGAGGCCGGAGTATGGGAGGCCGGGGCGCGGGAGGCCAGAGCATGGAAGGCCGTGCCGCGGGAGGCAGGAGCACGATAGGCCGGGGCGCGGGAGGCCGGAGCATGGAAGGCCGTGCCGCGGGAGGCAGGAGCACGATAGGCCGGAGCATGGGAGGCCGGAGCATTGAAGGCCGGAGTGCGGAAGGCCAGAGCATGGAAGGCCGTGCCGCGGGAGACCGCGGCGGGAGGCAGGGGCACGGGAGATCGTGTCGCGGGAGGCCGGAGCAAGATAGGCCGGAGCACGGGAGTCCGGAGTACTGGAGGGCAGAGCACGGGAGGCCGTGCCGCGGGACGCCGTGCCGCGGGAGGCCGGAGTCAGCGGTCGGCTGTGAGCAGTGCAGCCGGCGCGGGCGGCCGCTGCCACTGAGAGGCTTCACCAGAACGCCATCGATTGGGAAAGGCGGCAGAAATCGATGACAGGATCCTGTCCGCCTTTATGGGGAGTTCACGGCAATAACCCAGTCTGATGGCGCTCCTCCGAAGGTGTCCCGAAGCCACCCATTACCGAACACATTCGCCAGGCTCTCAAGTCGAGTTTCCTCAGCGCATTGACGCATGATCTATAAGGACGCAATGAGCTGACTAGTGCGATGAAGTTAAAATGACATGGGTTTATCGGATAACTTTGAAGTTCAGCGCTCCAGAATAGGGACCATCCTCAGCAGGAGAATAATTGTTTCCCAATGTGGACTCACTCGCGAACCCCTTACATCATTTGTAGACGTGGTGTGTGTTCTTACCATGCACACATCTTCCACTTCGGCGAGCCTTTGCATGGACACAATGCGTTCCTGGGCCTCGAACCGTCACATGTAACACGCTTGCGTTAGTTGGAATAAAACCAGTCCGCCCTCGCGCCTGCATTCGAAACACCGTCCTTCAGCTGACGGATATCGGCGATACGGCGCTGCGTGGCGAGTTCGAGGAAGTGGCGTTTACGCGCTCATCCTATCTATTCCTGGAGCGCTCGAAGCAGGCGTTTCAGCTGCACCTGTCGACGGCAGCGTTCGCCAACTCTACGCCTTTCGTCAGATTCGGCGCGGCTTCAGCTCCACTTTGGGGGGCGGCCACAAGGCTCGGTTTAGGTATGCGTCGATCGACAAAATTCCTTACTGCTTAAATGTGCGCACGCTACGCTGTTTTTGCTGCGCTGTGACTACTAGACGGCGCGATACAAGGTCGAGCACAAGCGCGGACTGACGGAGCTGAAGGCTCTGATGAACAGTCCGCAGTGCAAGCGGCAGCAGGGGCGCCGGACGCAGCGGTGCCCGTCGCGCTCGTGGCGCCGTCCTTCGCAGGCCCAGCCAGCCCCTCCCTCACCGCCCGTCTCGGATGTGACGCTAAAATGTAATGGTTTGACGCCACGGCAGCGGCGGCCGATATTGAAACCATACCGGCGGCGGTGGAGGGCGGCTCGAATGGCAATGGCCTTCTTTAGCCGATGCCTCGACGTCCGAACCTTGACACGGCCGATAAGTATTGGCCTGCGCCCGCCTCAGCGAATGCCGGCCACAAGCTTAGCACCGGGAAACCGATGCCGGTGTTCAGCTGGCGCCCCAGACCCGAGCCAGCACGGAGACCGCAGCTAAAAGTGCACGGCCGTCTTTCTGTGTGATATCGATAAGACGTCAACGTCCTTTCAGCTCGCGACATTTTGTAGCACGGGCCTTGACTTTGTTTAGACACTACCGGAATTGCCCTACATCGCTCTCGCCAAATGCGTGAAGCCGCTGCGTGGCGGCACCTTTTTAATACTGCTGCTCCAACGCTGTTCTCAAACGGTACCGTGTCAAAGCAGATCGCCTCTTATGCATTGGGTTCAGCCGTATGATACATGCAGACTTTGGAAATGCGAGGGTATGACGGACATTGCTCTCTTCCTGTCCCACGTAGCGCCAACAATACCTGTTCTGTGCAGATAGAGAGCTATGCCAATGAAGCCATAGTTTTAACGTGAATAAACGCTGACTGCTTTTATTCAAGACAGATGTCTGACAATGACATTAGATTTGATGTCCCAAGATATTCACTGATAATCTAATTATTCTTATTGGCATAGACCATGACGCGCGGGAGGTCGTTACCACGGTGGTTCACATGTCCCTTGCGTGTGGTTGTGTGACATGGGGATGTACGATTGTACTCCGCTGTCGGGACTTCATGGCTTCACTAGCCTCTCGCCTGGAAAGTAGGGCCAGCACCGCGGGGAATGAGCACCTAGCACCCCATGCCTCCGGTTTTTCCAGACGCGCGGACTGAACACCTTCACTACCGATACCCACATGTCCACTGTGATCAGCGTTTTTGCGCGAGGACCGTCCTTGCCTTTTTCAGACGCCTGAAACAGTCTGAGGCATGTGTAATATTTAGTAGTTACACCAACGCATCCCTTTCTAAAGGAGTCCTGCAAAAGGCACCATCTTCAAACGCGCCTGGCAAATCGCGGAGCATGTGAGGCGCCTTTCACTCTTTGAGCAAATACGTTGGATGACGGCTTTATACTTTTTGGAGGCGTTAATAGTCCCGTTCAGTGTTAAAGCACACCCCGTCTCTACTTGGCTCAAAACTCTCACCCAATAATGATAACTTTCTGCGTCACTACGGCCGCTTGTCACGGGCCCATACCAGGTCTTGATATGTCTACACCTCGGTGCGTTTCCCCAGTCCCAGCGAGGTCATTGACACCGCTGGGGAGCTCGCGGGGACACCTCGGGCCGGTCGGTACCAGAGCAGTTTACGATGGAGCCGTGCTCGCAGGCGACGGCCGTCGCCCGACGACCGCTAACAGGCCGGTAAACTGGGGTCGATTCATCACCGAGGCTGCCGCGACGGGCCTTTGTCTCGACCCGCTACGCACCGCCTGACACGCGCTCCGCACGTCCGGCACTGGTGACGGGCGTGGCGAGACGGGCGGAGGACACGCGCCGCCCGCCGCCGCCCGCATGGAAAGGGGGGAGGGGGAGGAAGCAGCGGTCGGTTCATCGGTGGTGGCCGGTGGTGTTGTAATGTGGAGCTGAGCCGACAGCGCACTCGCGCTGGGACATCGTCTATGTCGACGGCTGTTTTATAGATAACTGAAAGGTGGATATCATGCGACTCGCTTAGCCTGTCTCCGACCAATGGAAGCTCAGACATAGTTCACGCGAGAAGCAGTGAGCACGCAGCGAGTGCCCATTTGTTTCAGATGATGAACAGTGCACTGCATCTCATCCTTGCATGCATTTGGGGATACAGCTTTTTAACACAACGAAAGGCCCGGAGTTAAGATCAGGTCTTACACCAGTCGTTCGACGAGACCTACGGGAGGTAGGCCAAAAGATCTCGACAAACAGTAGACATTATTTATTTTTTTAAAAACCCACGTGCGCTTTGAATAGACATTATTAATTTTTTAGAAGCCCACGTGCGCTTTGAACACTGCCTCAGCTAGGGCTCTGAAAATAAATATACCGTGCAATCATGAGGCACCAGCGGAAAGTAGAGCAGCGCTTCTCCGTACAGTGTGTGCATGTTCCTCCGGGGACCAATGTGTGTCACCGCAACGCCAGACAACCTTCGCCGCCCGGGATCAATGGAGGAGCGTGACCAGTGTGGCGGACGGCTGCCGGACGAGCTCTTTCCAGGCTAAGTGACCGGTGGGAGCCGCCTGCACCGGACAAACAGTCTGTCCAGGTTTAGTGGTCGGTGTGGGACCTAAATGCGCTAAACGACCCTCCTCCCCCAAAGCCAACATCGTGAAGATAAGGTGCAATGATCCTGCAATGAGCTATGGGGCCCATCCTTGGAGAACGTTTGCGATGCGCTGTAGCTTGTGCATTTAAAAACCGGTTCATCCAGGATAAACAGCCGAATTTTATAACGCAGGGACGGCAGCTTCGCGCAAAATTTTGTTCATCGACTTCAATGTCCTCACTGACACTCCAGTAGGTGCGACTCGTTCCGAACAAAAACTATGACGCAAAAAGTTATTCAGTATATGCAGACACGAACCCATTACTTGCCGCTCGTGCCGATGCCCTTTGGCCAGTAAACATCAGACTGGTTGCCGCGTCACTGCTGCTAACGACATCCGACCTCCACAACACATGCCGCTTCAGAAAGCCCTGGGCGGTTCCCTACACCCCCGCCCTGGTACTTGCTCAAGATGGCAGGCAACCCTGAGGCATGCTCACCAGCAATGATCATCATGCAGATGGTGAAGATTTTCTCGTTGTCTGTCTCGGCCGCCACGTTGCCGAATCCCACGCTGGTCATGCACGTCATGGTGAAGTAGAGTGACGTCACGTACATGGTCTTGCGAGAGGGCCCGTTCACCAGAATCGGCGCCATCGTCTCGTTGGACCAGACGTACGAGTACGGCGACTGGGTGATGTTGGCCAGCTTCCAGAGCCAGCTGCCGGGCGGGACAGAGCGAACCGCTGTCAGGCGGAGAGGGCCTGTTCGGAGAGCTGGCTACCGGCCGCCTCACTGCCGGACGAGGCGGAGAGAGCCCAGGTCAAGCGGAGAGGGCCTGTTCGGAGAGCTGGCTACCGGCCGCCTCACTGACGGACGGGGCGGAGAGTGCCCAGGTCAGGCGGAGAGGATGTGTTCGGGGAGCTGGCTACCGGCCACCTCACTGCCGGACGGGGACCAGGTGTGCGCCAGGTGACCGGCCACCGCCCTGCCTCATCACCGCCGTCGGCAAACATCGCACACATTGGATGGGCATCAAGCGTCACCTTTTATAACCGTCTGCCATGCAAATGAAAAGTCGCCTGTAATCCACCGGCGCAGGTGCGGGAGGGGCACAGGGAGTCGTGCCCCTCCCCCCCCCCCCGCCCTCCAACTTTCTTACGCCCCGAGGGGCCCGAAAAGACCATTCACATTGACCGGCGATCAACGGTACGGTTTGAGGACCCGGAGGGCTGGCCGGAGAGCACATTCGGGGGGCTGGCTCTGTGGGCCGGGACCTGAAATGCCAGTCAAAAGGCCCTTCGTTCTGAGTCAGAGCGGGCTCGTATGTCAGTCAGGCACCACCAGTTCCGAAAAGTCAGCTTCGTGTCGGTCTGGACTGAGGGCCCATTTCCCAAGCAGGGATAAGGTCAGGCCTGCGAATTGCACTGGTCGGGGACTCGGAGTCCACGAGTCCATGGTATGCCCTCCTGCGATGGGCGGGCCCGAAGGGCTTGCTGTACGTCACATTAAAGACTCCCGCTCGAGCGGTCGAGACCTGAAATGTCAGTCCTATGGTCGTTCGCACCGATTGGGGATCCCTGGGACAGTGCAGGCTCCTATTTTGACCAAAGGCCACAGACAGAAAATAAAAGCAGAATTGCATCTTTCGGTAGCTTCTGGATTCTGTTCCAGTTAAGAAGAAAAAATTGAAATAAAACGAAAAGCATCGTGCCCCCTTTGAAATTAAGTGGCCCATATCAGAGAGTTTTTGTTTCAGGGGTAGTCCTTTACCAGCAGGAAGGCGCTTTTTTAGCACCGCGTCCCCTGCTCCCTTACCAAGGTTTAGGCTGCGCCCCTATTGCCATCATATCAGAGTGATTGACCAGCGAAATCTTGAAATCTAGCTGAAGCCTCAATGCTCGCGTATAGTACTTCCCGACAATCCACAATAATCTAGAGCAAACGCGATAGCACTGATGAACACTTAGTGTAAGTGGCGAACACCGTGGGCACGCTGTCTGGAAACGTCGAGCATTCTGGCAAAATCGCTATATACATGATTGCTTTATTCCGTTATTCAAGCGGGGCCCGCTTGTGGGTCAGAGCCTCACTGTGCATGTCGGCCTTTAGGCGTATGGAAAGTCGGTATGTTGAGTACGAGAACCCAAGGCCTTATGAAAACTGAGAACCCACGAAGCTGAGCATGTCAGCAATGAAGCAAACAAAAGCAAGAATAACTCGCACTGAACTAGTACAGGGCACCTCTCCACCAGCGCGGAACAAAAAGTAAGAGCCGTGATGACAGGACGCGAATTGTGCCGCGTTGCTGTGCCATGGGGACAGGCGTCCTAGTGGTCCCGGTGTCCAGGACGGGTGTCCAGGTGTCCTGGTGGTCCCGGTGTCCCGGACAGGTGTCCAGGTGCCCTAGTGGTCCCAGTGTCCCAGACAGGTGTTCAGGTGTCCTGGCGGTCCCGGTGTCCAGGACGGGTGTCCAGGTGTCCTGGCGGTCCCGGTGTCCAGGACGGGTGTCCAGGTGTCCTGGTGGTCCCAGTGTCCCAGACAGGTGTCCAGGTGTCCTGGTGGTCCCAGTGTCCCGGACAGATGTCCAGGTGCCCTGGTGGTCGGGTCCCGGCATTTTCCTTTCCTGATCCAGCACCAGTCATTTAAACGGGATGCAGAGTTCCGCCGTCACATGGTGAGAAGACGGTATCCTGTCCTTTAAAGGCAGGCTTTGTCTTTGAATTACCCCACAATGTCTGAGCATTTAAAGCAGCCTCTCGTAACACAACACTGCGTAGCGTAGCCAACCTACTCAGGAGCACTGCCGCAAACTGTCTCCGAACCCATATGCACACGACTAAACGCTAATGCATTGCACCCCATTATCATTAGCATAACGGCCACCTTCCCGTGCTCGCGCCCTGTCTCGGTGGACATCCGGACCGCAGGGTGGGGCGCGAGCGCGCGGCGCAGCGTCACAACAACGGCAGGCCACGCCCGTCACCCACGGTCGGCACGCGTCACCGCCGGCCGTCACCTGCCGTCAACGCGGACGTGGCGCGTCACCGGCCGTCACCGCGCGGTCCGGCGCCACCGGTCACCTGTATGTGACGCCGTTGTCGGCGTCCGACAGGCCGATGCTGTACCAGATGCAGGCCAGCCAGTGCGCCACCAGCATGTAGAAGCAGAGCAGCAGGATCAGCATGGCGGCGCCGTACTCCAGGTAGCGGTCCAGCTTGCGCACCACGCGGCCCAGTCGCAGCAGGCGTACTACCTTCAGCGCGCTGAACAGGCTGCCGATGCCCTGAGGTCACGGCCGCGGCCAAGGTCACGGCGAGCGCACGGGCGGTGCACTGAACACTGGACGGGGCTTCAATGGCCGGCGGCGGCGAGGCTCAGGTTACTGGGGATGTGGTCAGCATGTATAGTATATGTATAGCATATAGCACATATATAGACAGCTAGCATATGGCGGCCGCCGGCCGACTGGGGCAGGGCGCGAGCGGTGGCCCCCTGGGAGGGCTCGGCGAGCGGCGGCCACTCCCTGGGAAGGCCGCCGACGGAATAGGCGTGACGCCACGGTTTTGTTTCAGCAGTTTCGCGGCACGGGTTCCAGCCACACCCGTCATCATCCGAACGACGCTTGTCCGTTTGATGGTCTGGGTGCACCGTGCTGTCGCATCAGCCTCAGCTTTGGAGAACCAGCGCACGCTGTAAACCACTTTTCGCAAATCACGGATAAGTCGACCTACGACGTCACTGAAAAAAGCCAGGCAAACCGATCTTCTTTTCGCCAGTCAAAATCAGTGGGTTCTGCGATCCTTATCAGACCTGCCCAGAAAGCTGGCGGAGTGGTTAAACAACCTACGCTGATAGCTTCAACCAGCATGCTAATTCTGAATCGATGACGAGTGACTACAGTCCCCTTCCGCCACGTATCACAAAGGCAGGTAGAGGACCAAGACGAACATGGCCTCTACGGTCACTTTTTGTTGGCGCCATCGGGGCCTGCCGACGCACTCAGCAGCTGGGTCTATACCGTGGCGTCTGCTCCTCACCCTGGCAGGAATAACAGGCGCCGAAGGGTATTGGGCCCCGCTCTTGTGGTTTCCGAAACGCGGAGCCTGACCTCCACACTACTGAAATCTCCGCTCTTTTTTGTGCATGTGGCACCCATATTTTGGTACTTCATGCAAATGGTCGACTTTTAAAACGGCTCCACTTCCAGAAGATTTGATATCCTGGGCCTGGTGTCTAGGCCACTCCACCATCCTTCAGTGACGCGAGCTGTCACCTGAGCTGACCTGAGCTGACCTGGCGTGCAATTCATCCGGCAATACACCTAACAGCACACCCGTGCTGTGTGTGCTGCTGCTGTGTGCTGCTCCACCTGAAGCAATGACGGGCCGGCACCACCATCACAGGGTACCCACCCGGGCAATCCCGGGAGTTTCCATTCCACCAGCAGCACAGTTCAATCTGGCGCCAAACCCACGCGGCGCCGGGCAATCGCGCGCTGCAGAATTGGCGCGAAGGCGAGAGCGAAACGCCAGGTCCCACCGGACACACGGCCCCCGACCCGGCCCCTGACTACGGCCCCTGCACAGGATATGCTCCTGACTGTCGCTCCCACCCCTAACTATGGTCCGTACACCTGACTGCCCTGCCCCTGACTACGGACTCGACTCCCGACTACAGCCCCTTTTTCTGACTACGGACCCCGCTCCTGACCACGGGCATTAGCTCTTCTCTTGTCACCACCGGACTGATGGAACTATTCGGCAACAGACCCGGCTCCTATCCACAGACCTGACTCCTGCTCCCGATTCCTGGCCGAATCAAGCGGGATCCTGACCACATACCCGACTCCGGGTCCATTCTTGACGATTTCTCAGGTGAGTCGGGAGCCAGGTGAGTCAAGGTGAGTCGAGAGACGGCAGCCGGCTTTGGGGACCCGAATATTGACTCCGCAACGATTCCTCACTTCTGACTGCGGGTCCAGTTCTCGACTTCCCATTCGTCTCTGGCTAAGATCCTACGTAGTTACACTGAGACAGGGACACACGTAGAATTTACCAGTTGCGGTGTGTACGCGGGGGGGGGGGGGGGGCACAACTGACAAAATTCCACCGAAAACCGAGTTGAGCCCTCAGCAGGCACGTGCTCTTACCTTCTTAAAACAACGTCGCAAATTCTAGATATGAAATTGTGGCTGATAACAACCAGGCACTAGCCAGCCTATTTAATGCATGCCATACATTTGGTAAAGGGGGGGGGGGGGGGGGGGTTACGTACGGTCCGGAGCCCCTATGTGCACACGCCCCCGCAAAGAGACGTAAATGTCACCATGGACTAATCGACGACAAGTGATAAACATTTGATGAGTTTTAGCTCAGGATATGCTTTGAGGCCTCTTATGGTCGCAATATGACTAATCGATGGCAATTGGTATAAATTTGATGAGCTTTAGCTACGAACATACTTTGAGACCTGTTATTGTCACAAACTTTCCCAAGAAGGAGAACGTTAACTGGGTGTGTCAAAGCTTAGAGAAAACCTCGCCGGATCATAGTCTCATTTTTGCGCTGCTTAGTTTAATTAGCCACAGTGTCTACTGAAGCGCAGAAAAATGGGCCCAATACCGGCCGGCACATTTCTCTGGTCCCAGGTGCGCAAAACGGTACGTTAAAATGTGATGAATATTTTAACAACAGCGGAGGGTGAATGTGTCCCACCCATTCCACCCAATCCCAGTACCCAACCACCCATTATGAACCCATTCCAAAATCAAGCCGAGACAGACCGACTAATAAGGCTAATGCCGCCGCATCCAACTTAATGTGACCATAATGCTATTCATGGCATGATACCGAGCTGAGCAGGCATGCTAATGACACTGGAAGGAAACTAATGGAAACAGGGACACGGAAAGTCCCGCCTCTCTTCACCCTGCGGCACTTTGTTAATTATGTCTGCGTGAAGGCACCGCATCCCGCGGAGGCACTCGTAAACCCCGCGGGCTCTATTTGCTGTGGTGTCAGCAGTGGCCTGAGGCCGTCCAACTAAATCTAGAGGAGGACAGCTCAAAATGGTCCCCGGCAGTTCGGTGAGAGCTCGCCACAATAAAGCCGCTGCGCGGATCTGCCTACGCTTTTTCAGTTGGACCTGCGACGCAGGCGGCAATCCTTCAGAGACAAAGAGACTCCAAAAGAGTGGTGTTTAGGACAATATTCAATTCAACGCACAGGATATATATACTTCGGGGTTTGTGTCTGTATGGTAATAGCAGCAGCCGAAAGTCCTGTGAAAACTAGGACTGTGCGATAATTTTCTAGCAATTGTTATGCTTTGGGTCGTCGGATACGTACTGCCATTCACGAAGTAGCCTTGGCACATATTCTTTCACCTGTGCACACATTCACACATTCTTGTACCAAAATTCCGTTTGGTATCCTGCCAACTGCTGCATCATTATGACGAAGTACTTTTCAACTTATCTCTAATGGAGAGATACATGCAAAACAGCTCCGCATCACACAGCCTGATGCGATGCATATGAAACTTGCGCACACGCTGCTTAACGCCATTTCCCGATTGACAGGACAGCACCAATTCCCAACAATGAAATTATGCGCCGAGGGCAACGAGCTTTGTCAATCAAGGCGCATACGTGTGTCAACTCGAACGGCATCCTTAAGAACACGGTGAATGCGAACACGACGGCGGCGTGAATCTCACTCACACTGGCGCACGGCAGCCGGTCCTCACGACACCGAACACGGCCGTGTCGGCTCGTGACCAAGCCTCGGCGACTACCTGGTGCTGGCCGGCCTGCCGCGAGCGCCAGTACCGCGTGGCTCCGTCAGGCCGGCGCGCCGGTGCACGCCGCACCGGCCACGTGTCGCAGCCCCGTTCACCGCGCCACGCCCGGGGGCGCCGGCGCCCATGCAGGACGCGTGCGGCTCACAGCAAGCGGCGGCGGCCGGCTCCGGCTGCGTCGCCGTCCCTCCGCCGCCGGTGCAGGAGAGAGCGCAGCGCGGGCAGGCAGAGCGAGAGAGCGGAGACAGAGCGGCAGGCAGTGCCGTGCGGGCAGCTGAAGCCACGGCCGCCCTGCGCGCCCGGCGCCGTACTTACGTTTTCGCTGCGGCCGGAGACGCTGGCGCAGTTACTTACATCTTCATCGTGGTCAAAGGCGTTGAACACATCGTAGGGGAGGCACGACAGCAGGTCTATAACGAACCACGACTTGAGATAGTTCATGCGTATGATCTTGGGGTCACTGACCACTTCACCACCGGGTCCCACGAACGTGGTGTGGAAGTTTAGCACGATGTCTATGAAGAAAATCACGTCCACTATGGAGTCCACCACTAGAAGGCTGACGTCCTCAGACGTCTTGTTCTTGAACGCCACGTTGTACGGCACCATGATGGCGGTGTAGAAGGTGAGGCAGAGGATCACCCAGTCCCAGATGGCTTTGAAGGCACAGTAGTGGAGGAGGATGTGCGGCGGCGTTTTGGGCGCCTCCTGGCGGTACTGCGGCATCACGTCGGAGCTCAGAGACATCATCTGAAATCACGTGACGTGACTGAGCTGGCGCCTCTGCTGAATGTCCCTGGGACATCTCAGCGGGGGGATAGCAGCTGAAACGCAGGTTCACATCTGAGCTGAGACACGCATCGGTGAAACGAGACCTTCAGCTCAGTTCAGACGTTCGGTTTGAGCCCGGAGACTTGATAGGGAGCGAAGCAACAGACCATATGAGCTTAAATATGTCATCAGACACGACGCATACATGTGGACACAAGATGCAAGATAACAAGTGTGACCTGGTAAGTGACGCCAGATGTCCCAATCATGTACTTTGATCACGAGCGCAGCTGCGATGTTTCGTGTAGAAGGTGCACACATCATAAATGTAAAATGATTATCAGCTGCACAAATAAAGGACAATTGGCCTGCTCTGCGAGACGCCGGTGTGACGGCACGCCAGTGGGAGGCGGTAACACGCGGAGATAGTATCGTCACGTTCGTTGCGCTTGGAATTATTCCCAGTAAAGCCACCATCCGAACACACTGCACTGCATCACCCATGGTGACATTACGCAGATCAACAGGACCCAAACCCTCTGTGGTGTAATTCCGATCTCCGGTGCGGCATAATTCTAATCTACAGAAGGACGCCTTCAGCGGCTTAAGGCGAGCGAGATCACAGCAGACGTGACAGTCACCAGCCGTCGTTATGCAGATTATGTCAAAAACTAAGCTGGAGAGGCCAGACACACTCAGCGGCCAATGGTGATGAGATTGACCAATGCGTTGGAAGGTCTGCCTTTCACGAGGGTTTAACTGTCGCAAATCTGCCGCAGTGGTATTCGAGCGCTAATTAACGAGCAGCGTTGCTCGAAAACTGCCGGCTGGGTCCAGCCTGACCAGGCAATCGGACTCCACCACATCGACATATTTGTACTGATTCTGAACGGACGGCCGGCCGACCACGTTTCAACGTCGCGTTTCCAGCAATGCTCCAGCTTCAGCGGCCGCTCCCCTCGGACTGACCCGGCTAGCCACGCTAATGGTGGGCTTATACTGCTGCAACTCACTGAATCGCCATTCAGTTGTAAGACGCAAGAGGCACAGCATACGGGATGCAATTACTGATTGCACGCTCATGCAGTCTTCAGCCGCGAGACAGGCAATTCGCTAAACGTGATTTTGCACAAGACGTTTGCTCGCAAGCAGTTAGTTTAGGCAGGCCTTTCCCATGATATTGCAATAGGGTTTCCCTCCTCATTCAGTCGGCGAGGACAGCGAAGTTTTCAAATTGCGAAACATTCGGCTCTTGACAGCGCGGCGTGGCAGTGGCACGAGCCAGATTCTGACGGGGGAGGAAAGGCACGGTCCCGCTGGCAACAAGTGCAGGTCGATGCCGGCAGACGACCATGCGCTTTTGTGCGCAAGCCGTACATCCGCCCGCTTCACGGCGTTTTGAAGCATCGTTGGGTTAACAAGTACAGGCACAGAACCAACGGGCCATTCTTAGCAGATGTGCCGGCTAAACAACGCACTGATAGATCTCGAATTTCTCCGACCTCTGTGCGCCAGTGATCGGGCGGATTGCGGCCAGTGTCAGCTTTTCCAACATGATCTCCAAAACCGCATGCTATGGCCAACATAGGAAGAGATTCGGTCAGAACACTGCACGGAGCTACTCCGATGTCAAGTCGCGTGCATTGTTACCGAAACAAAAGCCAAAATAAGGGAAGTTTTTGCTATGCTCCGACACAAGTACCCAAACAATGCGCGATGGCAAGATCACCGCCTTGCTTCATAGAAATGGTCTGGTCTGTCCGTTCCAGTCTCATAGCCGTCAATTTTTCATTGCAATGTAAATTGTGAACAAGCACGCGAATGTTACATCAGTAAACCTTCTTCTGTTCCTGAAGAAAGACAAGCTTTCAACGCATCGATCAATTCCGTGGGCATGGGCTGCAAAAGCCGTCCGGCCCCATTCACTTCGTGTTCGTGTTCGGCAAATTTGGCGTGGTGATAGCCATAGACTGTCTTTGTTATTATCTCACCCGTCCCACGTTGCAAAGCGCGTCTTTTTAGTTTTGTTGTGGGGAGTGCGATCAAAGTATAGCAAACAAATGTATTGATGTATTTAACAGCGTGTTATGACAGCATATCAGGATATCATCCGCGCATATCATACAATCTAAATTAAAATGCAAAAAGTGCTACCCTGGGCTATATGACCGAAACAATGCATTTCTGTGGTCAAAAATACTTTGTTCTGTATCCGCAGGTGTTCAAGGTTGCATGCTTTGTATGCACTATACGCACTCCCTTTGACGCTTAACAATACATTTGCAGCAAACTGAGAGCAAGCACGTTGGCACCTTAAATTTTATGTCACCAGATTTATAAATGCGATAAGGAGGTGGTGACACGTATACACTCGTTCATCTAGCCTCTTCGCTACTGATGACATAAGTCATTGAGCTTGGATGACCACGTATAAACTTGAATGTTCTCAAGTGATATGCCGTGACCTCCTTATACATTACAATGCTACTGAAACATGTTTTTAGTGGAGGATTGGAATTCAACGTCCAAATTACCGAATACAACTACCTTTTCAGCTCAACATGCGTTTTGCAGAAGGCAGTTAAAGAGTTTTGTCTGACCTGGGCCAAGGTCATGTGCTCTGTGATCATATGATGGTTGCGCATGTGAGTTAGTACTATTTTATTCATATAAAAACATCAAAACTACCCAACATACTAAAATTTGCACTTATTACGAAGAATAGACAAATTGGCCTGGCCTTAGGTCACTGACCTTGCCCGTTTCCAAAATATAAAAGCTGCAACCTGTACGCATTATAATGCTATTTGACTATAGCAAGTCTAGACGAAGGCAAATTGCCCACAAAAAGTCAGATGCGGTCAGAGTTTTTTGGAGGTTGGCCTGACTTATCAAGGTTGATCTTTGACCTGACGTATATCACTGATCTTGGTGTGTCAAAGCCTCAAATTTGCACAGAGGATCTCAAGTTGATAGATGGACTGGTATTGAAATATCGTGTTGCTGCGAGCGCTCGTTTGTGACCTGTGCTCGAAAAACCGTAGGGTCAACATCTCCAGGCCGGGCGCAGGTTAGTCTCGTGACCGCTACGGCGCAGGGTTACTCAAGCGGTCGACATCCCCCGGCCGGGTGCATCTTAGTGTCGTGACCGCTACGGCGCAGGGTCACTCAAGATTAAAACTGTATAATGCTTGAAATGCAACTCCTGCCGCGCGCAGCCTCGCCCAGAAGAAACGTCCGGAAAGATGTGAGGAGCTTTACGTGCGGCGAACATCACGGCATACGGCTGGAGGAAGCAAACGGGGGGCTTCCAGAACAGGGCGCCGCCTAAACCGGGGACGGCAGCCGTGCAGGCGGCTGTGTCCGCCTGCCAGCGGAAGCCAGCTGCTTATTTGAAAGACGACGAATTATTACGGAGAGCTAGTGCGTTGAAGGGAGGGTTAACGTAAGAGTGCGAGTCGCATGGGGCAACGACATCGTCACTGGCGCAACGGACCCACACGCACCCAAACACGGTAAAACAGGGGGTGCGCACTCGTTACCAATAAAAGGGTGCAGATGAAATGACAAGCCATGTAGAACAAATGCATTGCGGTACAGCATGCAAGATATTTCGGCTGGACGTTGTTCGGCACATGCCGCAATACATGAACGAGGAACATTTCATTCCGACTAGTATTAAATAACTATGAGCTGGTCCCGCAATGAAATTAAAAGGAGGCTTACAAATCAGTGTATTAAACAGGCATTTCATGCACAACATTCTACCGTGAAATATTTGTTCAAATCGACTTAAAGCAAAAAATATCAATGTCGAGGTGCTGTGCACGACATTCATACCGATTCATCACCGTAATTTCGAACTGTCCGTTACTTTTGTTCCGGAAAAATGTCAGAACTGATCAAATACCACAGCATGGACATGTTTTAAGTGAGCATGCCTTAACTCAATTTACACAAGCATAGAATGCTGAGCTACTTTTATCTGGGGCAGAAGGTTTCAAGTAACGGAGCGGAAAGTTGTAAGCAAAGTTGGATATCCGGATCACATATTTGTAATTCAACACACCGAAAAAATTGGATAAAACGAAGGTCAGTGGACAGTGGATGCCTTGCATGTATGACGCCCATAAAAGCCGTATGATTGTTGAGCCGTAATGAAAAGCCGTAAGACAGTAATCAACAAAGTCTGACGTACGTTTGAAATATGCATGCTGGCATCATATCATTATCGTGCGGTGATCCATGTTGCGTTGATTATGATGATCATTAGCAACTGACCATAGGCTTTTATTATGATTAGGAACCACCAGGCTGCATCGGCGTATTTTGCCTTGGATACTGCGTGGGCTATGGCTTTTCAGGATGATTCACAATTCCTGTAGCGCGGGATCTGATAGGACACAACTGCACATCGTTTAAGAAAGTTATCTCACGCGCAACGAGTGGGCATTTATCGCAATGTTTGTACTGTCGCCTCCGTTGAAGGTTCAAACGGTGACGAGACTGGAGCAGTTTGAGAGAGGGGGGGGGGGGATCAGGGAGAGAAAATGACTGGAGCATCATTTGATGTTCCACAAGGTGCCGTACACAATGTACGATTACATCGTCGGTATAATAAAGAAAACTGCATGAAAGAAGAGCAGGTGGAGTTAAAAAAGATCGCGTTTGAAGACGAAATTATGCGATGCACTCTACGTGATGGTATTATTTTCACAGTAAAGCCAGCTATAAACTGTAAGAAAACTAAAGCAGTACGTCCGCGAGTACCGAACTGAGTCACAAAAGTTTTGCTTAGTTGTTCCAGGAATCACGGAACTTCGATGTAATGAAATGAGCGAACGGAAATCTTTGATACCTAACAAATCCTTTACAACCCAAATCATCCCCGCTTACGTAAGTTGCTCCGTACATTTGCAAGGAGCATAATGCATACAGATAAGACAGTAGTAATGGCCTTATTCATCGTAGAAAAA